GTCATACTCGATTGTTGAGGTAAATGGTGTTTGGTTATCGTAGATAGTGTGATCTATCTAAAAGTCGTATCGTGCGCTTAGCCTTCTGTATACTTTTTCACTGCATGTCACGTTATATTACAAACGCTCGTATCCGACTTCATTCTCGATGAGCTCGCTCCTTGGGGAACTACGTAATACGCCCGAACGTTGGAGTTAGTGAACGTACCGTTGCTCAGCCCGTCTTAGATGCTAAACCTGAGCCTTTTTCATATATACTACTTATTAGAAGCTGATTTAAAATTGCAATAATCCTTTAGGGGGGCTATGCATCCTTAACCTTCGTCAATTAGAGTCCTGTCGGGACCCCAATAGCACTCGAAAGGCAGGATGAATCAAGCTATCTTCCCACGGGACTCCAAGGGGATGATGAACCGTGATATGTGCTGGTAGGGCATGCACAAGGAAATGCTCATTATAAAGTTACTTCAATCTTCTTCATCGACCTAACCAATCAATCGTTCCCGGACGATTTCTGTTGGCGCAAGTATTTCGGATGCCAACCGGGGAAGACATGTCTTCGGATAGCCGAGCGTGTAAACCCACTAGGCTTGTAAACAAAAATTTCGCCTTGCTCCGAAATACACAATATCGCGCTGCGAGAATTAGATGAAAATGTTTCAACAAAACAAATTTAACACTAAGTTTATTCTCTTGTTTAGCTCGTTAGGTTTGCCTTTTTAAAAGCATTTAATCATAATTCGGCGAAAACGGTGTTTTCTCTGAGACACCTCTATCTATAAGAGGGAAGGGGGCGACACTGATGCCGCCTCGTAGCATCAGCCAGTGAGCTTGCTGTCAGTAGCACTGCAGGTTATGTAGAGATTGATTCGCGACAAATTGGTTTTCCATTTAATAATGAACAACACACCAACAGAAGCTCAGCATGGATTCGGACGTGGTAGGCTCTGCCTAACAAATCTGTTAGCCTACATGGATGAAGTGACTGACTGGCTTGACAGGGGTAAACTATTAGTGAGGTGTACTATCTAGATTTTAGGAAGGCCCTCGACTCAATGAGCCATGAAATACTCCCGCTGGAACTACCACAGTCAACAGTGCACCCTAAACTACAAATTTGGCTTTGGAGTTACTTGGTTTCAGTTTCAGTTCAGTTTGAACAACCATTAATCATGCACTTTCGTGCGCCGGTTTTGATTGCTGTCTTTTGGCTGCCCATTGGGATGATGAATAGGAGAAGAAAAGTAACTTGAAAGTGGAGTCGAAAAGAAAATGGAGAAGTTCAGTGGACTAAGATTAGGAAGAAATTGCGGAGATGCACGAACGCCACTGTTTACGACACCCAGCCATATCGCTCAGTGTCTCTAACCAGCGGTTACGATGCACGAACGCCACTGTTTACGACACCCAGCCATATCGCTCAGTGTCTCTAACCATCGAATGCACAGTTTACGATCCCAGCCATATCACTCAGTGTCTCTAACCATCGGTTACGATCATACCGAGGTCCCCAGCCGGGGAGCCTAACAGGACTTATGTGACCCAGTTTCCCGACTGGGTTTTCATACCCTCGTGCCAGGTCTTAACTTGACCACCCTTGGCTTTTTTCCACTCTGTTTTTTCATACCCTCGTGCCAGGTCTTAACTTGACCACCCTTGGCTCTTTTCCACTCGGTATTAGAGCAAATGAAACCGACTGAAAAGCTAGGAAGCACTGAATAGCTGTTTCGACCTGATTCGGTCTTATCGGTGGTGACGCGAATCCATCGGACCAGCTGGAGATCGAACCCGAAACCTCATGGACAGAACGCAACCCACTCGGACACTGTGCAGCTGATCTTTTATTTTTCTGATACACGATTTGCACAACCAATCTTTGCGAGCGAATGCTTATTATTATTAGTAGTAGTATTCTCAGTTTCGCCGCGAAATCTAGAACACACCATCTCGAAATGCAAAAGATAAAAGTTAAACAAAGTCAGATTTGTTTACTGGAAACAATACGGTCACCGCAACTTGGCCACCGCGGCATACATCGTGGATATAGTTGTGTGCGATTATTTCTCAGATGCGGTTCATGAAAACTGCGGAACTAGTGCCAAAAACAAAGGTGGACTTGTTTGTTTTAGTGAGAATGACGTTGAAACGAACAGCAGTATTTTACAACGCAAAAATGATTGAAAGAATAAGGTCACAATGGCAGCAGGATCTCACCTCGATGAGATAACCTTTGACAGCAGCACTTTGTCCCATAAATAGTGTGACAAAATTAAGTCCAAAGTCACCCAGTTTGTATTTAATTCCTTTGCCCTCCACCTGCAGTTTCTTCTTTCTTTGGTAAGAGGCTTTCAGATAACCCGCGAATTCACGGAAAGCTAGGTCCGCGACGAGCACCGTGTTATTATCCGTGAGCACAAAACACGAGGCGGGAAATTCACTGCTGGTCATGATTTGAAAGTTCTTGCAATGAGCTTAAGTTTACCGTGAAGCTGCCGAATGACAAAAGAGCATACCTTTGGCACTGCTAGACATATAAATCGCACTCTCAACATGCATTCTTCCAATGCGAACCGCCCCTAAAAGACAAGGTTAGATTACTTCGGAGCGGATGGGAACAGGCCCACCCAACAGTTCAACCTTTCTCATGAGATTCTCCAACGTTTGCGATCCACTGATCTTCCCATCAAGAGAACTCAACAATAAAACACTGAAATTTAACAATGGAGTAGAATGCGGAGAAACATACCATGAAACGCCAGACATATCTATACCTGTAAAAGAAAGATTTCCGATAATTTTCAAGGTGAGAAATTGGGTTACAAAACGAAAGCAAACCCGATCGTATCAGCTATTACTATGTCACTAGTGATACAAATTCGATCACGTCTAAAACCATCCTGGTTCTCACGCGTGCACTCTTCAGCTGCAGCAGACAATCGACGGAGCATAATTCCAACGAGAAGCTTAGAGAGATCATCATCGTTCAGAGAAATACAGTGAAGCGAACTTTACTGATCGCTGCCAAACGCGAAATCAGATCAGTTCAGTTTGTACAACCATTAACCATGCACTTTCGTGAGCCGGTTTTGGTTGCTGTCTTTTGGTCGCCCATTTGGAGGAACAGTAGGAGAAAGATAAGAGAATTGAAAATTAAGTCAAATAGATAATGGAGAATTTCAGTGGACGAGTGTTACAAAGAAATTGAGGTGCACGAGCGCCATCGTTTACGATACTTAGCCATATCACTTAGTGTCTCACCATCGATTACGGTCTTTCCGAGGTCCCCAGCCAGGGAGCCTAACGGAAACTATGTGATCCAGTCGCCTGGTTAGGGCTTTCATACCCTCATGCCAGGTCTTCGTTTGACCACCCTTGACCTTCATCCAACCGCTACCTGCCTGGTAACCTATCTGGTGGCATGCGTAGCACATGTCCCAACCAGCACAATCTATGGAGGTCGGCTACTTGCTCTAGTGGATGACCGCGACTGCCTAAAGCTCTACGCCTAACCTCAGCATTGCCCGTTCGGTTTATCCACCAGACTCGTGCAATGCGACATAGACAGCGCTGTTTGAACACCGACAATCTATTGTTATCCTGTTCCCGTAGTGACCAAGTCTCTGCATCGTACAGCAGCATTGACCGAACCGCTTTTTTTATTACACACCTAAGTGTGATGAACAGCAGACGGGGTAAACCCCGTCTGTTCAGTGATGGAAACCGGTAACCTAAGCCCCGGGACTTAGAGTGGCGAACCACATAAGGCCCCGATAGGTTAGACGTGGTATTGAACCGGACGAGAGCAAAGCTGCCGACCACCAAAGTCAGGTGACAGTGGCAGAGCTCGAACCTCGGACCATGGGTTCAAAGCACACCGGTGACAGCGACTAAACCACTGCGCCACCACTACCTCAGCAGCATATACTCGGCTCTTCAGCCGGATATAGCGACGGCGCCACAGATTTCTATTATATGCGTAACGAAACTTCATCTGTGATGCTTCCGCCAGGTGAGATATAGCTGCTCAGATGGCAACATTTGCCCACTTCATTTACTACTTCCCCAGACAAGATGAGGTCGGGGACGGGACCGACCCAACCCTGGAGCAGTATTTTACACTTTGAAGGTGCAAAACGCAATGCAAAAACCGAACATGGACACACTAGCACTCAAACTATCCAGAAAAGCTTGCAACTTATCTGGATCTTGACTTAGTAACACATCGTCGTTTGCATACTCTAGATCAGACAGTCTGCCTTGGGAGTGAATCAATGCCACTATCCTTGCACGAGGATAGAGTTGTTTCAAGAATTGAATCTATGACAAAGTTAAATAGAAATGGAGACAGAGGGTAACCTTGTCGAACATCACTTTCTGTAGTGAACTCGGGTGAAAAAGTGCCGTATGCTCGGACTCGGTTTCGGTTATTAGCATAAAGGGATTGTGAGATTGAAATAAACTTCTCGGACACACTCTTCAGGGAAAGGAAAGGCCAGAGTTAAGAGCGGTTGACTGAGTCGAAAACCGCCTTCAGATCACGGAAGATAGAAATGGTGGGCCTACGAAAAGATAATCTGTGTTCTAGAATTGGATGAAGAGTGAAGATGTGGTCGGCACCAATTCGACCATCTAAAACCAGCCTGGTTCTCACGCGTGCACCGTTCACGTGCGGCAGACAATCGACGGAGCATAACACCAGCGAGAAGTTTAGGGACGATGTTGGGTAAACTAATTCCTCTGTGGTTTTCACAAGAGTATCTGTCACCTTTCTTTTAAATCGGTGAGATCACCGACTCACATCATTCGGTTGGAATCTCTTCCATACTGAGGCCAGGAGTTTCGTTAACTCCAAAACTAAGGTGGAACCTACATCCTTGAAAACCGATGAGGACAGTCCGTCGGGGTCGAAAGCCTTTTGAGATAATTTATTTTTCGGGTAGCCTCCATTTCAGATGGAGGACTGATGTCAACTGGCGACATTTGCACAGTTCAAACGAGTAGGGGGAGGGCCAGCTTAACTGTGCTTTAAAATGGTCTGTCCAACGTTTAAGACGGCGTTGCTGAATATGAAGCAGTGTGCCATCACACTTCTTAATAACCTCACTTATACCTACTTTCCTTGGACCTGTACTCCTAATTAGGCGAAAAAGTTTGCAACTATTACCGATAGCCGCAGACTTCTCCATTTATCTAGACTTCCCTATCCTTGAAACTTTCAATTTAGATGTTGCTGCGTCTGCGAAACACTCATGCAAGACCCCACTTCCATTACCTCCCTGCGTTCTCCTGATCCAATGTCAACCTAACGTTTCACACTTCGTATGTCAGGCGATTCGGCATCCGAAGCTCGCGGTGTTGCTGGTTTCAGGATCGCGCCAAGTGCCAAGGCTGAACGCTCGCTTCTTGACTGGATTCCAGCTAGTGGCCGACTGTGAGCCGTGCGTCTCAACGGTTCAGCGCGGGTCAACAGCTACAGAACGAAGAGTTGACGCCTATCCATCGTATCGGTGTATGCGCCGACCAATTGCAGTACACCTTAAATCAAGGATGAATTGTACAAGGACCGTTCTCGATTAATTCAAAGCGTTCGACATCGTGATAATCACCGGAGTGGAATAGAAAACCCATGGTGAATGTCTTCTCAGACCCAATTACCCACCTCGGTGAGAATTTTAACCCCTAGGCACTAATACCCTCTTCTCTACCTGTGACATACTGATGCAGCAGTTGTGTTCACATTTCATCTCTCGTTCAATATACAGTACGCTTCGACAGTCTGAAAGCTCGAGAAGTGGAAACGACCCCATTTGGTGAATCCCTGAAACAAGTGATGTCACCTATCCAACACCAGACCCGCCTCCTCATCGCTGAACTCCAACCGAGCAGTAATTGCCTGTCTTGTATGACTTAATCTACCCTCATCTATGGTAAACTTCTTCAGTTTTAAAACTCTAGAAGTGGAATTGACAACCCATGGTGAGTACCTTCTCAGACTACAGCACGAATAACCTACCTTTATTAGAATTTCCGTTTAGGTCTTGCTATCTTCCCCCTTCCCTTCTCTGCTAGGTTTCATCCCAGACTACCGAGTTTTAACTTCCTACTCCAGACTCGCTTGGCTTGGGCTTATCGAAGGCTTGGGGTCTACACCCGCAATGGACAGTTTGGCACCGGCAATGGATGTTGGTCGCGGCTGTATCCACCATTGTGACTACATGCGTCCGCATTCCGGACCAGGTTAGGAATACACCCCCTGCCTCACCTAAAAGGTGTTTAAGGTTAGGTGCCTTGCGTGTAGTCAGACCCATATCTAAGCGACTAAGGCCTAAATCAGGTCAGGTCAGGTTGCATAGAACTGAATGTGGCCACGGCTAGATCATTCCGTTACTGATAAAAAACCCTGGAGCCATCTAATGAGACCTCACAGAAGTCAACTGTGTTACAACGTATAGTGAATACATATACTTTGACAGATGCTTCAACTCGCTATTCTGTTTCATCCTACCCGTTCTTGGGCCTATTTTCCTCTTGTCCCGTCCATCGGTCCACTAACCGTCTGACCTTATTTTACTCCTTGAACGTTGCACGTCCAAATTTCTCACCGTCCATCTAGTATAACGCTCCCGTTTTTTTAGTTCTATTTCAACTGATATGCTCTTGTGGAGCAGTCCGCCATCCTCACCATTTTCAGTCAGTTAGTCAGTTTGCACAGCACAGGAAACGGCCACGGCCAGTCGAGCATCCAAAGTTCTTTCCGTTGGCCCCTACCACTGCGAGTGTTGGATATTGTAGTTCTACACGTTTTCGCCTCGTCCCAGTCGTCTCTGCCTCTGCAAGGAAAGAGAAAGGGAAAAAATATCACCCCTTGTTCAGGCCAGAGACCTCACATTTGGAAGCGCTCCCCTGCTGGGATGGTTAGTAACTGAAAAAACCTACCACTGTTTCCAGACCTTAACCTATGCGTCTACTTTGGGAAATAAGTTCAACCAGCACTTATCGAGCTCCTTCTTGAAAGCATGTACGCTCCCTAGCTCCACCAACTCCNAGTTTGAACGCACCGCTAGTCTCGTGCGCACTTTCCTCAGCTAGTATATGTGACCCCCAGTGTTGCTTTGTATCCTCTCGAAGAACACTGCTTGATCCGTCCCTAGTAGGCCATTCCTAATTTTGAATATCTTAATCAAGTCACCTCGGATTCTTCTTCTTTCCAAGGAAAAGGGTTCAAAGTCCTGCAGTCTCTGATTATACGGCTTCTCTTGCTGTCCTTCGATCATCCTTGTGGCTTATCGTTGGACCCCCTTGAGACAAGTGGCGTCCTTTTTGAAAAAGGGAGCCCAGGCTTGTATACGATACTCTAAATGCGGTCGAACAATGGCCTTGTATAGAGGTACGAATACCTCCGGTTTCCTATATGTTAATGCCGATCTCAGTCTAAAAAGCTCTCTATGGCGCGGTGCGCCGCTGTGGCACACTGTTTTACCCATTTATAGTCTGCTGTCACGATGATTCCTAAATCTATAGCCTTCTGTGTCGTTCCTATTGAAAGACCGCGATGACTACTCCCCGCAATCAGCCCCTCGTCTCCAGTGATCAAGACATGGCTCTTTCCTATGTTGAGAGGCAAATCCCATGTACTTGACCACTTGAGCACTTCTCCTATGTCCCTCCCTAATTCCGCTGTTTCATTTGAACCTACAACCTTGATGTCGTCCGCAAATATATAGCTAGGCGAGCCAAGGCGTTCAGGAAGATCATTGATGTAGAGCAAGAAAAGGAGTGGACTTAAAACTGATCCTTGAGGGAGACTACTAGCAATAGTTTCCACCGGCGAGTTCGCTTCTCCGATCCGGACCTGGAAGGTCCGATCGGTCAGGAAAGCTGTTAGCCACTTGCGGATGTTACCCCTTATCCCTAGAGCATCTATCTTGGCCAAAAGTAAGCGATCACATATTGAGTCGAATGTTAAAGTCCAGATAGCATACTTCCACTTCCTTACACTAATCCAAATCTCGCTGTGACTTCATCTAAAAAGTACAACAAATTGCTGAGACAGGGTTTTCCCTTCAAGAACCCATGCTGTACCGCAATCAACAAGCGGTGCTGGGTGAGGTATTCGCATAATTGGGTTCTGATAGTTCGCTCTAGAGCTTTGCACAAGATGCTTGTGAGACTAACTGGACGATAGTTTCCCTTTGTCTCGGTCTTCCCTTATGTATGGCGACCACAGTTGCAGTTCCCCAGTCCTTTGGTATCCTGCTCTGCTCTAGAATTCTCCGGTACAGATGGCAGAGTGGGCCTCCTAGAACCTCGGCTGTATCTAACCAAGGCTGATTGGATGTCGTCTGGGCCAGCGGATTTGGTGGCGTTGAGCTCACCAATTGTTCTGCACACGTGTTCAAACCTCACCTGTAATTCGGGAATACCTGAGCCAGTTGTGTGGAGGTCAGACAGTGCAGTATCAATTTGGTCCACCCAGTGTACGCTTTTGAAGTAGTCCATGAATCCTAGTGCTATATCCCCTTATTAGGTTACTACTGCTCCATCATCCAGTATCAGAGGCCCCACCTTCTGTCTGAGCCCTCCCTTAGATTGAACGTGGAGGTAGTATCTTTCTGGCTGGTACTTCGCACAATTTGCCACCTTGAGCTCATATTGTCGTTTGAGCTCCCTCCAAATCGCTATTGCTTTGTTCCTATTCTTGGTGTACTGCGCCCAGGATCTGTGGCTGTCTATTGATCTATAAATGTGCCAGCTCATATTTCTACGCTGTATCGCTCTCCTAATTGCTGGGCTCCACCAAGGTAGTTTGTTCTTCGCTGCCCTGGGTTTGAGGGGAACAAATTCATCCTTCAGGAGAAAAACATTTGCCCTGATCTGACTCCAATGCTGGTCTATAGAATCGTTTTCCTGGATAGGGGCCCACACCAGCTCCGCAGCTCGGGCCTTCAGCCTTGTCGCATATATCGTCCAGTAGTTCCTGAACATCCTAACATTACTGTCACGGCATAGACTTATTTCTGTGGTGACAACGACGTGATCGCTTTTACTCAGTGGTGGATGGAGAGCAATGTTTGTCAAATCTCCCTCCCTCATCGTAATTATTAGGTCCAGTAGAGATGGCCTATGCCCATCTCTGTACCTAGTGCATTCCCGGACATGTTACTGTAGGGCCCTCGAGTGCATCCATTCTAAGAATGCGCTCTCCGGTGTTCCTGTTGGCGCCCGTTTAACCTCCCAATCTATTTGTGGGAAATTGAAATCTCCCAATATGCAAACGCCTTGGGAGTGCCTGTATGTGCTATCTAGGGCTCCTAGAAGTGTCTGGTCCTCCTCGGATGTGCATTCCGGGCTTCTGTAGACTCCTGCTATACTAACCCTCCTTGAAGGTAGAACCAGCGAAATTGAGCACACCTGGACATTTCGGGTGCACTGCGCTATTTTGTCTTCATGGTGTGGTATATTCTGTCTAACTAGGACAGCTGCTCCACCCCGCCCACCCTCAGTGTACCCCTTTTCCTGTCCTGTTTGTGGACTGTGAACCGGCTTAAAACTGGTTCGGGACAATACCTCGGCCTTTGTTCCCGCAGCCACTGTGGCCAGCTCTGCCCACTTATTCCTAATACTACATGCATTGGCGTGCAATAGTACCAATGCTTTCCTGTCCCCTAACGAGTGGTGTTTGTTCACTCAGATTCTCTCCTCGGGCGTAACACCCGAGTAGATAGTCCGTGCTAGGTGCCAGGTGCTACTGTGACCACCGTTTCCTCTAGCTCTGTGAGGTTGGAAACGTATGCTGGTCCCGTTGACGATATTGGCTGTCCGGGTGCGGTATTATTCGATTCCACTGGAGTTTTATTTCCCAACGTGAGGTGCTCCAAGATGTCCTTAATTATTACATTTGGGTTTGCTAAGACTCGTGGTACCCTGGGCAGTTGCTTTAGTGTAGCCCCAATTCGTTCTCTTTCCGTCTTGTAAGTTCGCGGTCTTCTATTCATTAGCCTCACTTGAGGCTCATCAGGGACTATTTTGTATCGCCCTTTAGTGGCACTCCACACTAAGTCTGCTCAGGATTGTAGCAGATCCCTATCTAGTGGCCTGCGGTGCTTCCGGGGGTGGTTTTCCACCTTCCAACCCGGTGTACTCTCCAAATTGACACGTTTGGCGGAGCTCCGGCTAACCCAACCATGTCAAGGACTCTACGCCTCACCATTTCCCTAGGGGCCTATTGATTCCCTTATATTCGGCTCCTCATTGTATGAGGAAGTTTCTTCGAAGTTCAACTTTGGGGATACTTACTGCGAGGGAACCCACTTGTTTTTTTTAAACTCCTGGAGCTCTTCTTCTAACCTATATCTATTCCACTGTGAGGGAATATTTCTACTCGCTCTAGGTTTCGACCCTCGATGTGGCTTGGGACGGTTTACACCCGTACCTTGGAGTTGACCACAGGTAGCGGCTTATGTAACGATGTAGATGCCGCCACTGACTTCTAGGTCCTAGGTAAAACTGTGTTCCAAGAACTCTCCCTGCAGTTTCCTCTTTTCTTGGCTTGAGGCGACCCGAGTTCTCAAGGTTCCTCTGCTTGGTTCCGACGTTTTAGGTCTCTCGAGACGCTAACCGCTCGGCTTGCCTCTGGCCTCTAATTGCCGCTTTTCGAACGCAATCCTGGCGGCGTCCATACACTGCTCACAAATGTACTCTACCCAGCTATTTTCGGCAAAAGAATACACAGCGGGCTGTGCTAATGCCTGAACAACCAGAAAGTGCCCACCTTTTTCAGGTTTCATACTCGATTCCCTCAACCACCTTCTTTCCGTAGCTATCCTTCAAACATGGATAGGACACTCGCGTCATTATAAGGTCTACTTATCTCAGTCCAGGTGATCAAAACTAAAACACTAAAACGAAAACGACAGGTGAATGCGATACGTAAAAACGTTATACACAAACAAGTTTAAATAATCTCATTGTATGTACACGGAGATTTCGTTCGCGCTGCTAAGTGCTAAATGACAGAGCGCGGTAAACAATTACGATCGAAAACTCGGAAAACCAAAATGTGAAACACTTATTCAGTCAGTCAGTCAGTCAGTCAGGAGATGGCCAGGGGCCAATCGAGCGTCCAGCTTTCCTCCGGTAGTACGCCCCGTTCCGGCCTCTACCACTGCGAGTGTTCTATATTGCAGT